GAACAAGAACATTAGAGACCTGTATACAGGAATAAATGACTTTGAGAATGGTGATCTTCCTTACCTGATCCTAGACATTTAGATGTTGAAAGTGCTATTAAAAATTGAAAAAATATAAATCTCCAGGTAGTTCCGGCAGAATTTGTCCAAGCAGGGGGCAAAATATTACGTTCTAAGATCCATAAGCTAATTACTTCTATTTTACGTAAGGAAAAATTGCCTGATCAGTAGAAGGAGTCTATTATTGTATCAGTTCACAAGAAGGGTGATAAAACTGACTGTAGTAATTATAGGGGGATATCACTGCTATCAACTTCATACAAAATTTAACCAATATTCTTCTCTCAAGGTTAAGTCCATATGTAGATGAAGTTATTGGGGATCATCAGTGTGGGTTTCGACGTAACAGATCAACTACAGATCAGATCTTTTGCATTTGTTAGATATTTGAGAAAAAAGAAGGGAGTACAATGAGACAGTACATCAGCTATTCGTAGGCATCAAGAAAGCCTATGATTCAATTAGGAGGGAAGTATTGTACAATATTCTGAGAGATTTGGGGATACCCATGAAACTAGTCAGGCTGATTAAAATATGTTTAAAAGAAATGTACTGTTAAGTACATATAGGTAAGCATTAGTCTGATAAATTTGCTATCCAGAATGGTCTAAAACAAGGAGATGCTTTATCGCTACTCCTTTTCAACTTTGCTTTAGAATATTCCATTAGGAATGTCAAGGAAAACCAGTTTGGACTGAAATTAAACGGGGCACATCAGCTTTTGGCCTATGCTGATGATGTGAATCTATTGGGTGACAATATAGATATCATAAAGAAAAACTCTAAAACTAACTAAACTCCGAGGCTTGAGTCCGCAAGCGAACTATACCTACCGAGCGGCCGCCGCTTGTCGGCGAAGTTAGTGCCACCTTTAGCGGATAAAGGTCACGTGTCAACGAATTCCCACGGCCGTTAATTTCGGGTTTCTAGACCGGAGCCGCTATTTAGCTGAAATAGCTCCTCAGTTATCCTGAAGAGGCTGAGTGAACCCCGTTCCAGACCCATTACTTCTCAGAAAATAATGTAGCGCCGGGAATCGAACCCGGCCCTCTGGATCCGTAGCCAGGAACTCTGACCACTAGACCACAAAGACGGTATAAAGAAAAACTCACAAACTTCAATTGAAGCAAGTAAAGAGGTTGGCCTAAAAGTAAACATACATAAAACTAAGTTCATGCTGCTGTCTCGTCACCAAAATGCAGGGAAAAATCATGACATAAAGATAAGAAACAGATGTTCTGAAAATGTGGTACAGTTCAGCTATTTGGGTACAACGATAACAGATCGAAACCTGATTCAGGAGGAAGTTAAGAGGAGATTGAACTCCGGTAAAGCTTGCTACCATTCAGTCCAGAACCTTTTGTCTTCCCGTCTGCTGACCAAAAACATAAAGCAAAGTATAAAAAAAAAAGCTCTAATTTTGCTTGTGGTTCCATAAGTATGTGAAACTTGGTCTCTGACATTTAGGGAGGAATATAGACTGTTGGTGTTTCCGAACAGAGTGCTGAAGACAATATTTGGACCGTGGAGAGATGACGTGACATAAAGTTGGAGAAAATGAGGAGCTTCTTAACTTCTATTCATCACTCAGTATAATTAGAATGATCAAGTCAAGGAGGATGAGGTGGGCAGGGCATATGACACGAATGGGAGAGAAGAGGAATGCATATGGGGTATTGGTGGGAAAACCAGAAGGAAAGAGACTATTGGGAATGCCATGGCATAGGCGGGTGGACAATATTAAAATATTTCTTAGAGAGACAGAATGGGATGGAGTCGATTGGATTGATCTGGCTCTGGATAGGGACCAGTGGACGGCTCTTGTGAACACGGTAATGAACCTTCGGGTTCCATAAAATGCTGGGAAATTCTTGAGTAGCTGCAGATTTGGCCTCTCCTCAGGAAGGACTCAGCTCCATAAGTAAGTAATATGCAGGCCAGGCCATTCACACGTAGAGTAAGAATTGTTTAAATATTTCGCATACATCTGAGCGATCACGATCACCTAATATTCTGAAATAAACACTTCACAAAAATCACCCAGAACTTTTAAATTAAGTGTACAGACTAAACACGACGGTCAGGGCAGTTTTATAGGAAATTAACATTTCGCGCTTGCGCACCGTGTGTGCCTCCTGTTATGTTCCTGAAGATACAGTCGAAGCAGCTAATTTCATTGAGACGAACTTCATCACCGACAGAAATTTAATCGAAATCATTAAAATAGTTCTCCAGAAAATAAGCAGTATTTTTTTGTGTGTGTGCATCTGATGGAGCTAGAAAATTCGTATTTACCAGGTACAAACATATTGTGGCGTATAGGGTTCCGTCATAGCTCAAGAGGTTAGTCGCTGGCTTCCCACCGCGGAGTCCCGGGTTCGATCCCGGGGTCTGGTCAAGTGGGATTTGTGGTGGAAAAAGTGACTCTGGGGCGGGTTTTCTCCGAGTACTTCGGTTTCCCCTGCCAACCTTCATTCCACCAAATTCTCCATCATCATAATCACCCGGAGCAGGCTACAATAGGCCAATGAGTGGCCGCCGGGCCGAGTGGACCCAGTCGGACTCCACCCCCCACTAAGGGAATTAAAAAAAATTGTGGCCTATAGACCAATTTCTAAGGCTTGGCTCCGCAAATATAAGCCTTTGACAGGTAATGCTCGTACGCAGCAATATAGGAGGTGTCACGATAGGTTGAGCGTACAGCCGTTGTTGGGTAGCTCTCGCAGCATACGCATGCGGATTTACGTCACACCATAAAAGAATAACCGATACAGGCCGTGTTCTCTGTGGGTCATCTCCAAGGTTACATGACTCGACCGACTGTCTTGTATTCAGCGATAGACTTATGGACCCTGAGGCTCATCTTACATTGAATGGACGGAATATCCATTTTGTCAATCTTGTAAAATATCTCGGTGTAATCTTCGATAAGATAATTACATGGAGATTGAACATAGAAATGATTGAAGCTAAGGGCTTCGGAACATTTATTAGAATCTACTCCTTATTCAAAAGTGAGCGTTTAAGCTCCTACCTGGAACTAACCCTCCACAAGACACTGATCAGATCATCAATGACTTACGCTTGTCCCGCCTGGGAATCAGTGGCGGCCACGTATCCTCAAAATTGCAGCGCATGCAAAACAAAGTTCTGCGCACCACTGCAAATTTTCCAAAGTGCACAACAGTCCGAGATTTGCACACATCTTTCAACCTTCCTTATGTATACAACTATACAACAAAATTCTGCAGGAAACAAATACACAATCATGAGAATGAATATATTCGTGGTACAGGACAATTTGAAGACAGACATAGGAAATATAAGAGGCTTAAACTCGGCTGTGGTCCAGTTTACGACTGTTCAAGTGACTAAGCTGCCGTTGTAACAGAAGATACGCAAGATAGGAGTGATCTGCTCTGCAAAGCCTGTACTGACAGAGGACTTGTGTGTAATGCAAAAGGAAGAATTTTCAATAACACTTTATATCTGCGAAATATACACTTGACGAAAGGCCAAGTATATTCATAAGACACATAGCCATTTTCTTGTCAGAGTGGATGTTACACAAGGGCTATTACCGCAAGAGTTCAATTGAAATAAATTTCTGGCCGTGGTTCTGAAGGGGTCTGAAGCCAAAACGAACTAATTGGCGGTAAACTGCCAGCCGTAAAGTAACTATGACTTTGTTCTGCGAGTGAGTGAAGTGCAGTTGGAGGTTCAGCTGTGGTGTGCTAACGAGGGGGACAACGGAAGCGGAAGAATCTCCATTGCTAAGATTGTTACCAGAAAACGTCTAGTGAAGGTATTGCAGAGTAATAGCCATTGTTAAGAGCTGTTGGCAAGCAACGACTAATGAAAGCAGACTGAGAAAACTTGGGGTGGAGTGATTTGTAGTGTGGAAGTCAGGAATTGTCTTACAGTTATTTGTAGTTACGACCTGCAAGTGGTCAATAAATATATTGACCAATCGAAACCGCTTCTATAGTCACTAAATCACGTGACACTATGATCGATGAACTATGGAATGTCGAATATGAATAAAATGCGTCCAACCGTTCGGGCTCATGCCAGGTGAACATACATACATACATACATACATACATACATCCAGCAACATTACAAATGTAACTAAATCGCTTTTGTAGGGGATGAAAATATGTAAATCTCTCAAAATGTGGAGATAAAATTCCTTACGCTTAAAACAACTATTCATACATATTATACAGAGTGTCCCAGGAGAAAAGGTAAATATTTTGGGAGGTCATAATATTGGCCATTCTAAGCAAAAAAGTGTATATGTACATGTATCCTATTCCGAACTTTTTCCGAAATGGAGCTATTTCACTCTACAGTACACTGTACACTGTACAGACGAGCAACACGCCATGTCCTCACATGAATCGCGAAGTCTATTGATGTTGACGGCGGAATTTTCGAAAATGTATTGTACTAGGTAAACTTTACCAACTTTGCCACTTGAACAATAAAGACAGGTATTAGAAACAGTATGTAATACGAGTATATCTGTCTTATCAACAGTTTTGGAACTGTACAGTGAAATGACTCTAACACAGAAACCGTTCGGAATGGGACAAATATACAGTACATCCCGGTACATACACACTTTTGCTTAGAAACCTTACCGCCATCTATGAGCCGATTGACTAGAAAATTTGGGAACCTAAACTTTCACAACCCTATGGGCCTCCACAGCCTATTACAGGGATAACTTTACCTACTTACTTACTTTACTTTTATGACCCATACTATGACTTCCCAAAATTCTGACCTTTGCTCCTGGGACATTCTTATATAAGAAAGTAAAAAGACATACATTTAAAATACGTTAACTCTACAATCCGTCAATTTATTGGCATGACAGTGTACTTCGTTTTCTCTGGAATGCACTTCCCTCTGCCCAAACTTGCTGCACTTACATACGAGATCATTGGCAGGTTGAACGCGGCAGCCATGCGCGCCTCTGTGACGCAAGTCTCCTGCGGACCGATGTAGGCAGCCACATTCTGCGTCCACAGGTCGGCCGTGCGCGCGATGCTGGCCAGTTCCTCGCCGCGCGTCTCGGCCACCAGGAACTGCAGGCGATGTCCACGAGCCCCCATCGGCCCAGCGTTCAGTTCCGCCACTGCCAGCGAGATGGCGCCGGAGATGCTGAGGCCGGGACGCACGTACTCTTGGTCACCCGGGCGGCGTTGAGACCCTGTCAGGTAGCCGAGTGTGAAGACGTCGCCACCGGCCAGAGGAAGGACCAGCAGAGCCAATAGGAGCCACATGCCCCGGTCCAGTCTTCTACCTGCAGCACAAGACGAAATTAGTAAAACTCGGAATTACATACGACAGATAAGGAAGCCGAAAATGAACAGAGAGAAATGGGATGAAGTATTAAGAAGAGAAGTCGGAGGAAAAAATATAATAATGTGACACGCAGTCCCGTTGCTAGGTAATGACTATCTAAAAGCGGCCGTTACTAGGTAATGGCCACAACACACGCACCCAGCAATAGAAGAACTGTTGGACGCGGTGCTCTCTCTCTCTGAGGTCTGTGTCGAGTCTATGTAACTAGGAGCAGCTGCGATTATGAGTCTTGAGACCAACTAGGATGTTGGTGTGAGATGGTCGTCAGCCTTGGAGTCAATGGAGTGGAGCGAGTCGGTTGGTGAGTGAGTAAGTCAGAGGACTGCTGGGGTTCAGTCCTCGTGAAGTTTCGCTGTGAAAAGTTGGTAGCTGAGGCACGGGGACAGTTCTGGAACCCAGAGGAAGTGGAACGTCCGCCGCTGAAAACCGTTACCAGGCAACGACTGGAGAAGGCTCAGCAGGCTGGGAAGAATTAGGTTTATGCTGTAGTGAATTGTAATGTGTGTGAATTATAATTCACACTTTCAGATCGTAACTACAAGTAACTGTAGCGCCATTGATAATTATCAATGGCGCTACAGTTACTTGTAGTTACGATCTGAAAGTGTTCAATAAACCCAATTACCAACCCAAACACCGTATATACTCGTAATATCTCATACACGTGACAATAAGAATAAGGTGAAGTGGCAGGAGAATGGAAGATAACGGGGAACAAGAAACTGCAGGAGGAGGATGACGGAATGAGGGAAAGAGGCCAATAGAAAAATCCAGTGACCTCATGGGGAATCGAACCGGCGGCCTTATATTAAATTCCGAAGGCATTCCCCTCTGCCACACGTCTATTTCTGTCAAATATCTAACTTAAGGCAGGACGGGAAGTCGCCGATTGTCTCTGCCAAGCAGCAAAGCCAGATACAAATATTCCCTTGGCCACGTAACACGCAGTTTCTTATGCACGTGGCATGACCTCCGCTAACTAGCACTTCAACGTATACACGTGTGAAGTCACATATATCAGTCTGTAGCTCATTTAAATGCACTCCATCTTGCCAGATGTCTCAAGTGAATGTTCACGGGTCTGTTTACGCCGCTGCCGATAGCAAGATTATACGGATTCAAATGGTCGGATAACAGATGGTCCAACTGGAAATTATTTGGAAGAAAGCGGAGGTGATCTAATCGGGGTAACATGGCGGTATCTTCCTGCAGGAACTAAGGAGAAAATATTGAACACCTCAGTCAGGCCAGCAGGTGTTTCGGCGGAAATTGGAACCCAGCCTTTCCCATCAGACACAGGTCGATGTCTATTGAATATGAATATTCTAGCTGAACAGTAACTTACGGAGACCGTCAGTCTCGTGCTAACGACATCTTCCGTAAGATAACAGAGAGCCCTGTTTCTAACCGTGCGTCAAATATTAATTATATATTTATATAACCTTCAACACAACAAATAAGTAATAAACTCATAACCACATTTGTGTCGATTGAGTTAGAATGTTAGAATTACGCGACATGTTCCAGCTCACTTGGAGCTATCATCAGGCGATACAGTGTTTAAATTCGTAAAATACTGAATTGTAATTATAATTACTGCCGGTCACGGTAGCCGAGCGATCTAAGGCACGTACTGTCTTCGCTCGCTTGGAAACTAGGATCGTGGGTTCAAATTCCACTCAGGGCATGGATGTTTAGTTTGTGTGTGTGTGTGTGTGTGTTTGTGTGTGTACAGGTTTGTGACGAGCTGATCACCCGCCCAAGGAGTCCTACAGAATGTGTAAGATCTAGAAAAACCGAAGTGAACGGAGAAGTTCATGGAGGTAGGCCTAGGCCCATTGGGGCTGTAGTGCCAAAGAAAAAAAAACATAATTACTGTGGATCCATATTACAAATTATGATATACAATTATTTATAAAATAAAACAATTTAATTTATATCGTTATTTGCATAGGTCAACTAAGTTTTATATTTTGCTTATATTAAATTAGTGTCTCTTCGTGGTGCTAATCTCATTATATTATGGAAACAGTGCGTTATCCTATATCTCAATACCAAATAACCTGTTTTGAATTATACTTAGGTAATGTCTTGTTGTCTCTGATGCTGTTATGCTGTTTTCTTGTCTTCGCTGCCTGAAACGTAGTTTATTCAGTCATAAATTTATTATTTTAAATAACTCATTTTGTATTTTATTATTTGTTTACAATATAGTTTAACCATACATTATTATATAAACTATATCTCGTTTATCCATGAATTATATATTTGACTGGTCGATTCGTCTGTATCAAATGAATTATTATCTATGATTTAAATTTGATGCTTATTAGTCATTTCTTTTATTGTTTTTATTAATATTAATTATATTATTATTAGTATACGAACATTAATTTCTACTTACTCTTAAGCGCTCTTAAGTTTCTATTATACTGTTTACATAACTGTTTCTTGTTCCGTTGTTTATGACGCACTGTCGCTAACTGCGCAACGATATTATGTATTAGTGATCGTGGGATGGGAGAGTGAAGGGGTAAGGAGGCAGGGGGAGGTATGGAGATATGAGGTAAAGTGGGTGGGGTTATGGAAAGGGGTTGGTGCGATTAGTATTTCCTAAGTTGGGTATGATGCTATTATATCCCTCTGCTAATGTGTCATTCAATTGTGCACCATTTTTAGTGGCTTCATATAATCGTATTTAGCCTTTCGTAGGCATTTAGCAGTTGACCTTTCTCTGTGTGTAACATTTTCATTGTGTTCTCCGTCGTATCGTTTTCGTGAGCTGTGTCTATTATACTCGTATGTTGGGCAAATTTTGAATACTGAATGTTAAATAATAATAATTATTATTTACAACAAAATATATCAGAAATAAAGGACTCCCAAAACAAACGTCGAACAAGAAAGAAAATGGATAGCATTTACGTGCTTCGGAGCAGAAACAAGAGCAAACACGAAGTTATTTAGAAATACAAAAAAAAAAAAATGGAATAGAATGCAGAAATAGAAACAAAAAAAAACACCACATGAGAGTGAAGAAATATACTACAGGCAGATTTAACTTAAGTGATATATATCAATTGCAATGTAAGGAATACCCAGGAAGATATATAGGTCAAACAGGCCGGTCATTCAAAAGAAGATACAGAGAACACATCAGGGATATAAAAAGTAATAGCCAATAATAAAAAATTTCCCAGCATATAACAGATACAGGTCATGAATACGACACAACGGAGAACATAATGAAAATGTTACATAGAATAAAGGTCAGAAGTTAAATGCCTACGAAAGACTCTATATATTTGAAGCCATTAAAAAAGGTATACAATTCAATGACACATTAACAGGGGAATATAACACGATATATGACATAATAATAGCATCATACCCGACTTAGAAAATATTAATCGCACCAACCGCTTCTCACACACCCCACCCACTTTACCTCATGTCTCCACACCTCCCTCGGTCTCCTTCCCCCCTCACTCTCCAGTCCATAGATCACTGATACGTAATATAGATCATATCGATGCTCAGTGAGCGATAGCTAGTGCGAGTTAAACAAGGGAACAACCGCTCAGTCGATATGGTCGATATACAGACGGACTACGGGCTGGATGGCAAAGGTTCGATATCCGACATGGTGAGATTTTTTTTTCTCTACAGAGTCAAAACTGGCTTTGGGTCCCATCAGCTTCCTAGCAGTGGGGGCGTGAAGCTGACCACTCACCCCCATCTAGTACTGAGGCCGAGAATGGTAGAGTTATACGTACCTTCATTCTCCCATGCGTCTTCATGGCATCGTGCTTAATTAATTACTTTGTGTTCCAGCACAACGAATCGCTTGCAAGTTTAGTTCGTATATCAGTGACACACGGTGGTCTGCACTGAAGAAAAAAGAATCGATTTCGTTTCCATGGTAACGTGATCAGAGCCACTCGTATGTAAGAAAGTATGTGTAATATATTAGCATCGATTTACTTGTTGCCAATTCTTTTTTCAACCACCCCACCCTACCACACTTCCCTCCACTCGTCTCTGAAACTTTTTAATTTGAGGCCAAGACTATAAAACCGAACAGCCATGTGACGTCACAACCGGTGTCTGTGAAGTTATTGAATGCGGGAAAACAATAACACTTTCGTTGTTGCGATACTCGAGAAAGCAAAGAAAAATGTACCAACATGATCATTAAAACTTTCTCTCCTCTTCAAAATAAACATTTCAAATACATGTGCGATAACAAATTGCTGGCGCGCGCAAAAATGACGTAATGATTAATTTTGTGATTCTTCTTCTGAGACAGTGCTAGGACGTGTTGACTGAGGGTTGCACTGGGTGGCACGCTGGCCTATATCGTGCACTGGGAGAAACTGAAAAGAGAAAAGTAAAGGTATCCCTGTAACAGGCCGTGGAGGCCCATAGGGTTGTGAGACGTTGAGGCTCTCATATTTTCTAGACAATCGGCTCACAGATAGCGCTGAGATTGTCGGCCTTACGCGCCGGCCGCCCCATTTACCCCCAGGAAGATCCCTGATACTCGTTTCTCTTAGAGGCTGAGTCGACCCCAGGACCACAATGCGGCTGGAAGGATTAGGTAACTTGAAAAATCCAATGACCTCATCGGGAATCGAACCCGTGACCTTCCGGCTTGTAGCACACTGCATCAACGCTAGAAGCGTGCGGAAACAAATTATTCTGAACTAACTCAGTCGAAAGATCTTTCTAATAGACTAAAGTGAGTAGGTACACTCTTCCATTTGACAATGGAAACAGACAGTTTCCGAAACGGCAAGTTTTTTCTCTCTCTCTCTCTCTTTTTTTTTATAGAATATCGGATGATGGACAAAAGCCAAAAAGCTCAGTAATTCTGACTGATATACACCATCGTCAGAACCCGTTGGAATTGTTAAGTCTAGTTTCTATCTTTACTCT